GCTGTGTTCCGCTGTTACTGCTGCTGTTAGTGCTGCTGATAGGTGTTGCTGTTGATGCTGCTCTTAGAGCTGCTGATGTTATTGCTGTTGGTGCTGCTGCTGGTGCTGTTACTGCTGCTGCTGCTGGTGTTGCTTACTGCTGTTGCCACTGGTGTTAGGTGCCACTGCGGCTGCCGCTGTTATTGCTGTTACTGCTGCTGGTGCATTTACTACATGCTGTTATTGCGTAACTGCTGCTGATGCTGTTACTGCTGCTGTTATTGCTGTTACTGCTGCTGGTGCTGTTACTGCTGTTGTTACTGCTGCTGTTAGGTGCTGCTTTTAGTGCTGCTGCTGATGTTATTGCTGTTACTGCTGCTTTTTGCGCTGCTGTTGTTACTGCTGGGTTGCTGCTACCGTGCTGTGTAGTGCTGCTGTTACTGCCGCTGTTAGGTGCGCTGCGCTCCGTCGCTGGTGCTGCTGATGTTATTGCTGTTAGGTGCTGCTGTTGGTGCTGTTACTGCCGATGCTGTTACTGCTGCTGTTATTGCTGTTACTGCTGCTGGGCTGTTACTGCTGCTGGTGCCGCTGCTGATGTTATTGCTGTTAGGTGCGCTGCTGTTGCGCTGTTACTGCTGCTGCTGCTGGTAGCGTTACTGCTGCCGTCACTGGTGTTAGGTGCTACTGCGGCTGCTGCTGTTATTGCTGTTACTGCCGGTTGTGCATTTACTCTGTTGTTATTGCTGTAACTGCTGCTGATGCTGTTACTGCTGCTGTTATTGCTGTACTGCTGCTGGTGCTGTTATCTGCTTCTGCTGTTACTGCCGCTGTGTTAGTTTGTGCTGCTGCTGATGTTACTGTTGTTACTGCTGCTGGTGCAGCTGCTGTTGTTGTTAATGCCGTTGGTGCTGCTACTGCTGCTGTTAGGTGCCGCTGTTACTGCTGCTGTTAGTGCTGTCCTGCTGCTGCTGATGTTATTGCTGTTAGGTGCTGCTGTTGGTGCTGTTACTGTCGCCATGACGCTGTTACTGCTGCTGTTATTGCTGTTACCGCTGCTGGTGCTGTTACTGCTGCTTTAGGTGCTGCTGCTGATGTTATTGCCTGTTACTGTTGCCGCGCAGCTGCTGTTGCTGCTGTTATTGCTGTTACTGCTGCTGGTGCTGCTGTTGCTGTTACTGCTGCTGGTGCTGGTTGTTACTGCTGCTGTTAGGGTGCTACTGCTGTTACTGCTGCTGTTAGATGCTGCTGCTGCTGGTGGTGCTGTTACTGTTGCTGCTGGTGGTACTACTTTATGGTTGCTGCTGGTTATTGCCGTTACTGCTGCCGGTGCTGCTGCTGCTGATGTTATCTGCTGTTAGGGTGCTGCTGCTGTTACTGCGCCGCTGGTGCTGCTGCTGCTGGTGCTACTGCTGCTGCTGCTGCTGCTGTTAGTTGCTACTGCTGCTGCTGCTGATGTTATTGCTGTTATGCGCTGCTGCTGTTACTGCTGCTATAGCTGCTGGTGCTGTTGCTGTTGCTGGTGCTGCTGTTACTGCTGCTGGTGCTGCTACTGCTGCTGCTGTTACTGCTGCTGGTGCTGCTACTGTTGCTGTTACTGCTGCTACTGCTGTTATGGGTGCTGCTGTTGTTACTGCTGCTGTTAGGTGCTGCTGCTGGGCTGTTATCTTATGCTGCTGCTGCTGCCGCTGCGCTGGGTGCCGCTGCTGTTATTGCTGCTGCTGTTACTCGCTGGTGCTGCTGATGTTATTGCTGCCAGGCGTCGCCGCTGCCACTGCTGTTAGGCGCTGCTGCTGTTGCTGTTATTGCTGTTGCTGCTGCGCTGTTACCACTGCTGCTGGTGCTGTTACTGCTGCCGCTGCTACCGTTGCGCTGCTGCTGTTACGCTGCTGTTATGTGCCGCTGCTGGTGTTGTTACTGCTGCTGTTAGGGTTTGCGCTGGTGCTGTTACTGCTGCTGGTGCTGTTACTGCTTCGCTGTTACCGTTGCTGGTGCTGCTGATGTTATTGCTGTTTGCGTTGCTGCTGGCGTTGCCATTGCTGTTATTGCTGTTACTGCTGCTCGCTGCTGCTGCTGTTAGGTGTCTGCTGGTTGTTGCTGTTATTGTTGTTATCTGCTGCTGATGCTGTTGCTGCTGTTATCGTTGCTGCTGTTACCGTTGCTGCTGTTGTTACTGCTGCTGCTGTTGCTGTTGTTACTGCTGCTGTGCTGCTGTTATTGCTGTTACTGCTGCTGGTGCTGTTTCTTGCTGCTGCTGGTGGTTACTGCTGCTGATGCTTCTGTTACCGTTGCTGCTGTTGTTGTCGCTGCTGCTGTTGTTACTGCTGTTGGTGCTGTTGTTACTGCTGCTGGGCTGTTACTGTTGCTGCTTGTGCTGTTACTGCTGCTGCTGCTGGTGCTGTTGTTGCTGGTGCTGCTGTTACTGCTGCTGTTATTGCTGTTACTGCTGCTGGTGCTGTTACTGCTGCTGCTGCTGCTGTTACTGGTGTTGGTGCTGCTGATGTTATTGCTGTTAGGGTGCTGCTGCTGGTGCTGCTACTGCTGCTGTTATTGCTGTCTGCTGCTGCTGCTACTGTTGCCGGTATTGCTGTTACTGCTGCTGGTGCTGTTACTGCTGCTGCTGCTGTTACTGCTGCTGCTGGTGCTGTTACCGCTGCTGCTGGTACTGGTTATCGTGCTGCTGCTGGTGCTGTTGTTACTGCTGCTGCTGGTACTGTTACTGTTGCTGTTGCTGTTAAGTGTTGTTAGTACTGTTATTGTTGTTGTTGGGTGCTGAAATAGATATGCAGCTACCACCACCTTATTTTCACCATCACTACCACCAGCATCACTACCACCATTTTATTACCACCATCACTACCACCACCACCACCTCCACCATCACCACCTCCACCATCACTACCACCAGCATCACTACCACCACCACCCCACCTCACCCTCAATACCCCTATAATCTGTAACAATTAGTGATCAGGAGTATCCCATCAACCTGCCCTCTTAAGCTATCGACAGTACTCTACACCCGTTGTAGGAGCGTCTCTGACCACTCACCTCTAATTAAGGTCATTACCAGGTAAATTTGTATTGTGCATTTCTATCCCAGTCCTTAAGCAACACCTAAGATGAGATGAAAGTCTTCTATTATATCTGTTGAACACCTGTTGCACACCTGTTCCCTTCAAGAATACTGTTTACCTGTTTAAATTCATATCTGTTGGCACCTGTGTCTTTCAATCAAGTTGTTATATTCCTCACACCTTTTGCTTGCCTACTTCTTTTACACCTGTTGTACTTCTGATTCTAACCACACCTGTTATTACCTAGTTTCCTGCCGTCTTTCTTGTCACTTGTATAATCACCTGTTTCTCTTCAATAATATCTTTTACCTTGACACTTGTTCAATGTGCTACACTCATTCCTTCACACGCGTTCAACTGCTTCCTTGTCACTTGGTTCCCGCTGGAGATTATCTACTTATGCATCATCTCCTACGACTGTTGCGGGGTTCATTGTCTGAGAGATGAGGAAAAAAACAAACACGCAAAGAAAAAAAATAAAAGACAATCCAATAATGAAAGATAACAAAATAAATGAAACAAAAAAAGCAAAACAAGGAAGAGAGAGAGAGAGAGAGAGAGAGAGAGAGAGAGAGAGAGAGAGAGAGAGAGAGAGAGAGAGAGAGAGAGTGAATCGGAGAAACAGAGACCCACAAAGTATGAGATATAGCCGGGAGAATAATACTTGGTGGGGCTACAAGTGTTCATTACCGAGCTCTTAAGAAAGAATGACAAGTTCCCGAGATCTGTACCTGCCAATTTAAGACATCATTTAGTATCCGTTGGGGTTCAGATAAGACGCTAAAAGCCGATATTCCACCTGCTTCCTTAAAGACAAGTAGCGATTCATCGACAAACAAATGAACAGCGACCGAATGCGATACATCAACCACAGATGGACAGGGGGTTTATCGGTGCCCAATTTAAAACCGCAAAACCAAAATATTAACGAGGTCTTTGAAATGAGATACAAATAATCTAGGCAAATCAGGTGGTGTTATAATGACCAAGTCTCTAGTGTATTGGGTGAGGTGTAACACACAACATTAACTACAACCCAACACCTGTATATTAACACTCGGCTAAAATGTATCATTACCATTGCTATAAATATCACCTGATGGACTTAACGCCGTGTGAGTAAATGTCTGATAGCGTTGGGGTCTCGTCCCGTTTTTGCTCCTTATGACGATTGCATTGCGGTTGTGGATGGTGCCATACCTGCTGTGACGTACTGTGTGTGTGTGTGTGTGTGTGTGTGTGTGTGTGTGTGTGTGTGTGTGTGTGCAGATATATGAGGGATGCCTTCTGGTCTCTGTTGCTTAATAAGAAGACGAAACAGAGGAGGGAAAGAACCTATCCCCTGTGTACTCCCATCGAACCCTTTGTCCTCCTGCTGGTGTTGACGACTTCCCTACACCCTCCAGTACGCCCCACGAGAACCCAGCTGAACCTGTGACCTCCTGATGGTGTTGACGTCTCCCCTACACCACCCAGTACACCCCCACGAGGACCCTGCTGAACCTGTGACCTCCTGATGGTGTTGACGTCTCCCCTACACCACCCAGTACACCCCCACGAGGACCCTGCTGAACCTGTGACCTCCTGATGGTGTTGACGTCTCCCCTACACCACCCAGTACACCCCCACGAGAACCCAGCTGAACTCAAGGTGCTGATGTCTCACACCACCCAGCACCTCCCCACGGAACCCAGCTGAACCCAGACCTGATGGTGTTGACGTCTCCCCTACACCACCCAGTACACCCCCACGAGAACCCAGTTGAACTCAGACCCCTGATGGTGTTACTCGCCCCACACCACCCAGCATGCCCCCACGAGACCCTGCTGAACCAGACCTCCCTGATGGTGTTGACGTCTCCCCCTACACCACCCAGTACGCCCCCACGAGAACCCAGCTGAACCTGTGACCTCCCTGATGGTGTTGACGTCTCCCCACATCCTCCAGTACGCCCCCACGAGGACCCTGCTGAACCTAGACTTCCTGATGGTGCTGACGTCTCCCTACACCACCCAGTACGCCCCCACGAGAACCCAGCTGAACTCAGACCTCCTGATGGTGCTGACGTCTCCCCACACCACCAGCACCCCCACGAGAACCCAGCTGAACCAGACCTCCTTGATGGTGCTGACGTCTCCCCACATCCTCCAGCACGCCCCACGAGGACCCTGTTGAACCCAGACCTCCTTGATGCTGACGTCTCCCCACACCACCCAGTACGCCCCCACGAGAACCCAGCTGAACCCAGACCTCCTGATGGTGTTGACGTCTCCCACATCCTCCAGTACGCCCCCACGAGGACCCTGCTGAACCCAGACCTCCTGATGGTGTTGACGTCTCCCCTACACCACCCAGTACGCCCCCACGAGAACCCAGCTGAACTCTGAGACCTCCTGGATGGTGTTGACGTCTCCCCTACACCACCCAGTACACCCCACGAGAACCCAGCTGAACCCAGACTCTCCCTGCTGGTGTTGACGACTTCCCTACACCCTCCAGTACGCCCCACGAGAACCCAGCTGAACCTGTGACCTCCTGATGGTGTTGACGTCTCCCCTACACCACCCAGTACACCCCCACGAGGACCCTGCTGAACCTGTGACCTCCTGATGGTGTTGACGTCTCCCCTACACCACCCAGTACACCCCCACGAGGACCCTGCTGAACCTGTGACCTCCTGATGGTGTTGACGTCTCCCCTACACCACCCAGTACGCCCCGAGAGGACCCTGGTAGACGTTATACCAAATATGTGAGAAATCGGTTGAGGAGGCGTTGTCAAGATCTCTTCTCCAGAAGTAACGAATAGGAGAAGAAGACGAGACGAAGAAAAAGGGAATGAATGAAGATAAAAATAACAAAACACTAAAGGAAAATAAAAGATAGAACGAAAATATGAAAGAAGATATAAAAAAGAAGGTTGATAAACGAATGATTAAGAGAGAAAATTAAAAATAGAGACATAAATAAATGAAAAATGAACGACAGATTAAGAAAAAGAAGAAAACTAAGAAGAACAAAGAAAGAAAGAAAGAGAGAAAGAACGAAAGAAAGAAAGAACAAAAGAAAGAAAGAAAGAAAATTGAACAATACAAACAGGAAGACAGAAACACTCTAAGAGACAAAATCAAAACAACTATTATCAACATCAACACCGCCTCAGATAACACACTACCCAACAATGTAATACAGGAGTCAATTTACCTCATGATCCCGTAATACCACCTTTATATACTTATACTGTTTTAATGAGTTTAAAGTCAGGTGCGTCAACAGGTAAGAAAGACGTGGCATTTAAATAACTCTGTTTACTTCTCTTTGTCTAGTCAACAACAATTAAAAACAAACATTAAAAGATTATTATTATTATTTTAGTTGTTTTTTATAATATTTAACAAACATACAAAAAAAACATATTTCTGATAATATGAGTAAATGGATAATTATTTTATATATATATTACAATTTATATAGTTATAATTTATTCTTAACCATAATTCAAATTTATATTATCTCCCTAAATATTAATACTCAGGATGTTTATTTTGTATTATTTAATTTTCGTGAATTTGTGGTTTTCCTTTTTTGTTTAAGAATCAGGGAGTGACATCTCCATCTACCCCGGAACGGATCTTTAGTTACACCTTTACCTGCAGTGTGTGTGTGTGTGTTGTAGCGAGGAAACAAATGACTGTACACCTGCCTAATCTGCCTGGCTGAGTCGACAAGGTGACACATACCCTAAGGAAGATGATGACGTCTTGCACTATTACATCGCACAACATACTCACTATAAGACTTGCACTATACATTTTCACTACAGCATTATATCCTTTATACAAGTCTAATACTACATGTGTAATACTGCAATTAATAAATCATCTGTATTACGTATTCATGATAATATTAATAAAAGTGCTATTTTTTTTTACGTCTGAGGGTTGGTGCCTACGTCCCACCAGTCGAAATATATTCGTGTTGTTTTTACTAATTTTTCCTGATTTTGTATCTCTCCGGGGACACAGCTTTTAATTCCATCCATTCATTCATCCATCAATCCATTCATTCATCCATTCATTCATCCATCCATCCATCCATCCATCCATTCATTCATCATCATTCATCCATTCATCCATCCATCCATTCATCCATCCATTCATCCATCCATTCATCCATTCATCCATCCATCCATCCATCCATCCATTCATCATTCATCCATTCATCCATCCATCCATCATCCATCCATCAATCCATCCATCCATCCATCCATATCCATCCATTCATCCATCCATCCATCATCATCATCCATCATCCATTCATCCATCAATCCATCCCATTCATTCATCCATCAATCCATTCATCCATCCATCCATCCATCCATCCATCCATCCATCCATCCATCCCAGTTTGTGTTATCATCAAGGTTCTCCTACCCTCAGTTTTATCCATTATTATCTCAACCATCATCTTCTTATTCCTAATTATATGGTCAATGTTTCTTATTTTTCTTATTCTATTAATACCCAGGATTCCTCTCGTTAGTCTAGCCGGTGTTAATACTTTTTCCTACTTTATCATATATTTCATACTTTTTCGTATTTTTTCATACTTTTTCCTACTTTATCATATATTTCATACTTTTTCGTATTTTTTCCTACTTTTTCCTACTTTATCATATATTTCATACTTTTTCGTATTTTTTCATACTTTTACCTACTTTTATCATACATTTCATACTTTTTTCATTCCTTTTCATACTTTTTTCATATTTTTGTTCATACTTTCTAATTATTTTTAACAATTCTCCAATAATATAATACCATTTGTCAAAAGTATTTAACCTCTTCTATGCTCGGCTGGAAGTGTCTTTGATTTGACCCCCACACCCACACGCCAGCCCCTATTACATTACAGTACCCTTTTTCTCTAAGTAATGTTATTGTACTAAATTTAAAAGGCCCCCCCCCCCTTAAGATTATTAAATGCCGTTTTTACTTGATATTTTCTTGTTTTGATTTCACTTACTAGCGTCAAAATTTACATTACTTCCTAAATATACAAAACCTAACCTAACCTAACCTGACCTAACCTAACAACAACCAAATAATTCCATCTTTACAATATTAGTTCTAAGTATTTTTTTCCTTCACCTTTTCCTATTCATTTGTTAACCAGTTTTTGTCATGAGTCTTTTAATATCGGTGATAAGAATAATCATTTACATAAAGAATATAATAATTATTGCCTTACCATTAACTTTTAGTAAATTTTTCGTTATTTAGAACTTTCTTTAAGTATCCTGAATAGATCCAATGCTCGAGACAGCCACACACACCCTTAACCTCTCTGTGCGGCATTAAACAAACCTCTAAGTTATTTTTTTGGTAAGTTTTAATATCCCCTAATTAATTTCTATTTTCATCATCAGATAACTCATTGTCTAATCTAGTTTTTATGGCGATAGAAATTATATTAATTAAATCTTTGCATGCATGACTTATCAAACTAATTGTTCTAAACTGGGTGTCTTCTCATTAACCTGTTTTATTAGGTATTAACACAAATATTGATTCTAGGTTAGGTTAGGTTAGCTTTGGTTAGGTTAGGTTAGCTTTGGTTAGGTTAGGTTAGCTTTGGTTAGGTTAGGTTAGCTTTGGTTAGGTTAGGTTAGCTTTGGTTAGGTTAGGTTAGCTTTGGTTAGGTTAGGTTATCGTTAGTGTGGTTAATCTTAAGGTGAACTATGCTATGGGGTGATAATCTGTAGGTGATCTGATGTTTCTTCTGGCATAATTAGTGACCGCTAGCATAACCTTGATTTATAGGGTACAGGTGTGTTTCATCCGGCCATTGTCGTCACCTGTCTAATTGTATCTTATAATCTACTGTGACTTCCTGTTTCTTGTCGACATAAATGACATTGAATGGTAATTTGTCTCTGTTTTAATGTCTGTCTTGCACACAAACACACACACACACACACACACACACACGCCCTTTTCCTCCTCAACATAAGTCTACCAATATCCTCATTCCTTATACATCCTCCTCCTCCCCTTATACTTCATCCTCATTCCCCCTCAATCATCTCATCTCCTGTGATCTAATGAGTATAGGGGTGATAAGTGGTATTCGCTGAGGGTACAGGTCAAAAGCGTGGAACTGTAGCACGATTTTTTCTCCTGTAATTGGCCACAAAGATGATGGCGTTGCGTTTAGGGAAGCTATCCATATAAAAGGTGCATAATTTAGGGATTTGTCGGTAATAAGCGGCTCGTGTATGGTTAGAGATTCATGATATTAACCTGGGATTGTGTGGTGGTGGTAGTGGTGGGAGTAGTGGTGGTTGTTGTTGTTGTTGTTGTTGTTGTTGTTGTTGTTGTTGTTGGTGGTGGTAGTGGTGGTTGGAAGTGGTGGTGTTGTTGTTGTTATTTTTGTTGTTCAGAGTTCACAACCTTATTGTTCGTTTCTTAAGTATAATAGAACTATAATTAAAACCATCTGTATTGTACTATTTTATCAACCTTTTTATTTATTTGTATTTATTATTTTTTACAACTTTTTTTTTTTTTGCTTTACAAGATCACATAGTATGATTGTAGGTTTTAAATGTGTGTGTTTTAGTTAATATTTCTTACCAGACAATTATCTTTTGAGTATTGATGTCATGTTTATGAAGTGAAAGTCAGAGCTGATCAACACTCTTCTCCCTTGATAAGAATCTGGTCGACAGCTATGGGTCACGTCAGTAATCTAACTGCCACCACCTCTTTATTTTTCTTCCGTTAGCAATATTATGGAAACCTAACTGTTATTCCTTGTTTATCTGAAGATGTGAGACTATCTACATCATTCTTTGGCTTTTTATAATAATATTTACAACCCTCTGTTCCAGGATAGATTCACACGTCAAAGTTTCCAAGACACGAATTACTGTCGACACATCAGGAACCAACATGATCTTGACAATGTTGTGGAAATCATCGTCAAAATCAGAACAAAACAAAGAACCAAGCACCTCACCTCACCACACCTGTTAATCATCACTTAAGAACACATACATACACACTGTTTCCATTTACTACTACTATTACTACTACTACTACTACTGCTACTAATAATAATAATGGCTATTCTCTATTTAAAAGATTAACTCTCTCGCTTGACTTGATTTACATAATTATGTTTGCATGTATAATTTTTAGATATACCCGCATGATTCACTATACTCAGATATATCCGCATGATTCACTATATTCAGATATACCCGCATGATTCACTATATTCAGATATACCCGCATGATTCACTATATTCAGATATACCCGCATGATTCACTATATTCAGATATACCCGCATGATTCACTATATTCAGATATACCCGCATGATTCA